CCACCAAGAAAATGCACATTTGCCCAAGATATCCCTCATAGTATTGCACATTTGCCCAAGATATCCACCAAGAAAATGCACATTTGCCCAAGATATCCCTCATAGTATTGCACATTTGCCCAAGATATCCACCATAATTCTTCAATGATGTGGTAAGGTGGGGTAATTTCACATTTGGTATTGAAAAAAGGTTTGGGATCCGATCCTGAGGGGTCTAGTGCACGCACGCATTCCACGCAATTCACGCTTGATGCCTTAACCTACATAAGCTAGTCGAGTTTATCTCACTCGCTCATGTTTGTCTTAAACTAAACCTAAGAGACCTAATGCACTTGTACATATTTAAAATGTCAAATCCTAGCCAGATACCCCCAATTACAAGCCACCATTCTAACAGTCAACAGAAACTTTTAGCATGCAGTTTAGTAACACTGTATATAGTTGTGTAAAACTACTGCACAGTTTTATAAAACATAAATACACTTTTACTCCAGTGGCAATTTATACTTGCCTTTCATCATAACTAATACATGTCACATAGGCAGTGAATCTTGACTTAATAAATTTGAATATCAATAAACTGCGATGTCTATTTCAAAAGCTTAAGCAATATAGTTAAATGCTAAATTTAATATTGAAATTTTTCAGGCTAAGGCATATAGCCAATAGCAAGCTGTCCTTTATGGAAACAGTACTTAAAATGTTTTAATTGAAATATAACTGAAATTATTTAGGCTATGGCATATAGCCAATAGCAAGTTGTCCTTTATGGAAAGTACTAGAATGTTTTAATTGAAATATAACTGAAATTGTTTAGGCCATGGCATATAGCCATAGCAAGCTGTCCTTTATGTACTTAAAATGTTTTAATTGAAATATAACTGAAATTATTTAGGCTATGGCATATAGCCATAGCAAGCTGTCCTTTGTGGTTTTTAACAATGCCTAAAAAACTTATCAAAAAAATGGTGGATACATCAGATAAGTATTTAGTTATAGTATTTAGTTATGTTTTAGAATTCTTAAATATTCACGATACCCACCTAATTAGTAAGGGGGGCCCTCTACCCTCATTTTTTTCTTCGCGAACCTATGTACAACAGTAGCTTTATCTTATTATGGTTTAAAGCTTATAACATCTACACAAGTATCATTACAGATGATCTCCAAGGAAAGAACTTAAATGTATAAGAACCATGTAAAAGCCGAAAAGGTTAATTTTTAACCCATCCATGTTTCAATTCAATCTAGTAAAAAACTAAGCATCAAAACTTGATATATTTAAGTTGTATAAAAGATTACATCTCAGTCAACAAAATAATGGGATGCTTTAAAACACTTTGATAAAAATTGGATGTTCTATACCAAAATTGGTGTTAATGAATAAGATCCTTACCATTAGGTAAGGTCTTATTCATTAACACCAATTTGATGTTCTATACCAAAATTGGTGTTAATGAAATAAGATCCTTACCATTAGGTAAGGTCTTATTCATTAACACCAATTTTGGTATAGAACGTCCAATTTTTATCAGAGTGTAAAAAGCATCCCATTATTTTGTTGACTGGGATGTAATCTTTTATTCAACTTAAATATATCAAAGTTTTGATGCTTAGTTTTTTACTAGATAGAATTCAAACATGGACGGGTTAAAAATCAACCTTTTCGGTTTTACATGGTTGTTATACATTTAAGTTCTTTCCTTGGAGATCATCCGTAATGATATTTGTGTAGATAATGTTATAAGCTTTAAAACGATATATGGCATGTTGTATATACATTAAACCATAATAAGATAAAACTACTGTTGTACATAGTTCGCGAACAAAAAAAATGAGGGTAGAAGGCCCCCTTATTCAACACAGTCCAGACATTGGGCTGCTATGTTGTGATATGAATTTCATTTGACGCAGTGCGTACCTATATTTTTAATGAAACATTTTTTAAAATTTTGGTCAAATGCAAAGGGGGGGGGGGGGCAGGATTTTTTTCAAAAATTCAAAAAATTTTAAAACTGCCCCAAACTAGTCCAAACTTTCTGAAAAAACTTGTCGAAATGGCTTCCTCTCTTGAAAAGAATTTAGTTTTGAAATATTTGGATCAAATGCAAAGGGAAGGCCACAAACAGCACTGAGGTCAACAAAGGGAGGACCATTGGAAATTTTTGAAAATGCAAAAACTTTCCCCATCCCATTCCGAACTTTCTGAAAATTGTTGGAAACAATTCCTTTCATCAAAACGATAACTTTCAACTGATAAAAACAGCTTTGAACAATATGGGTGAAATGGAAATGGGGACCAACTAGTCTGTAGTTGAAACTGACTTTTTCAAGTACTTCATCTGCAAGTCCAACTGGACTTATCAATTGCTTGAGAAACAATCTTTACATCATTTTTAAAAAATCTCCTCTTAAATACTATACCACTTTCATGTACCCACTTTTTTTCAAGCGACCGGGCAGAAAAGATCAACTGCGCGTCCTCTGCAAGTTTTTAAACAAGCCGCCGCACAAAAAGTGGGTACACTAGTTATAACTCTGTGACGGAAATGAATGTGAATACCATAGTCCACTGATTGTTGGGCTACCTATGCTATTGCCTTAACTTTTCATCATTTTTTTATCTTTGAAAAAGTGGCAAAAGATGACAAAAATTTAAGGCTATTCAAATTCAGTCATGTTATATTAGCAAGAGTGGGACCAAGCGACGAACCCATTGAGACGCCATCAGTTTGTCTGTAAAGTTGACCATTTAGAGAGAAAATGGTTTTTGTGCAAGAAACTAATACTGGACTCTTGCACAAAAACCATTTTCTCTCTAAATGGTTAACTTTATAGACAAACTGATAGCGTCTCAATGGGTTCGTCGCTAGGTCCCACTCTTGATAATTTAAGGCTATATATAGCCTTAAATTCCTTCTGCCATTTTTTTCTATCTTTGAAAAAGGGAATAAGGGTATTATAGCCTTAAACTTTTTGTCCATTTTTTCTATCCTTAAAAAAAGGGGCATAAATGACAAAAAAATTAGTTCACTTCTCCTGCGAACAGGCAAAGATGGTTAGGTTAAAGCCAGTGCACCTAAATAAGTTTCCGAACTGTTTAACGAGGGGCAAAAAAGGCCAAATAATGGACGGAAAAGTTAAAGGATTAGTCTTTATTTTTGGTCAATTTTTTGCCCATTTGTTCAAAATGAAAGAGGGTTATAATAAAAATGACGGAAAATTTATGGTGTTAGCTTAGCCTTGGCTTCTCCAATTTTTGTCATATATTTTAGGTAATATTGGGAAAGTGTCCAGAAATTGCCAAAGTCTCAAATTTCTGTTGAATCGAAAATTTTGTTCAAATGCACCTACAAACTCAAACATATGTGACAAGGGGCAACCCCAATTTTTAAATTTAGGCTACACAATGTGTTGCACCAGTACTTGTCCCATTACCTATTTCACATCACAGAATGTAACAAATTAAATGTTGGAGAGGGGGGGATCCTAAATTTTCTAGATGATGGCACCTTGAAAATAAAGGTCAATGTGATAATGTGGTGTTGCTCTAAAAAGTGTTTAATGTTATTAATATCACCCACTGCAACTCCCTATATAATTTGTCAAAATAAAACAGACAACGGGGTTTCAGATTTGAAAATAATTTATTGAACGGGATAATTCATATTACATTTTTGACAGGAAAGTTTACACACTTATCATTACATTTTGAGAAAAATTAAATTGACAATGTCACGTTTTTAAAGTACTGACTATATTATATTATTACAGTTTACATTTATTACAAAAGTTAATGATTAATTAATTGATATGTAATACAATATATATATTTTTTATGCTTTACAAAAATAAATTATATATTATTATTATATATTACAATATTTACCTTACTGATTTATCTTACATTAATATTACAATGATTGATGCTTATAATTACATGTATATTATCACAGCCGATGCTAGATTATTATAAATTACAAACTAAAAAAATTCTCTATTCACATTTTTTATCTCCAACTGTGTTTGGGACCCCCATTTATAGAAAATCATAAAATAAATAAAAAATAAAATGTCTAAAATCTTAGTAAGTTTATGATGCTAATATTTCATAACTTTTCATATTTTATAGATCAAACTGCATGTTTTGTGTATATGGATGTGAAATGTTAATTTAATATTTGAGAAACTAATGATATGACTTAATATTTTTCATGTTTGATGTGTCCATATTTTAGGGCATCCCCCCAATATAAGCATATTTTTTGTATGCTGTTTTCACGAAATGTTTGTTCTATTTCTATATATTGTATCATACAAATGCATATTTCAAAGGGGCACCCGCCTCATATTTCATATTTTACTGCTTAATTGCAATTTCGCTCTTCGCTGCAATTTGCAATGAGGTCAACCCTCTCCCCAAATATTCATATTTTATTGCTACATTTTCGTGCTTTGTCATAGTTGTTAACTAGGGGGCACCCTTTTCAAAGGGGTGTCCCTGTGTCCTCCATATTGTTATTGCACCGCCATATTGTGATTGCACCGCCATATTGTTACTACTCAATTACTATTTCATTTTCAGCCGCAGGGCCCTCCCCCCACCATATTATAAATGTCCACTAACCTTACGACGTCTTCTTTCTTGAGTAATACATTTGCCCAAGATATCCCTCTTTGTATTGCACATTTGCTCAAGATATCCCTCTTTGTATTGCACATTTGCCCAAGATATCCCTCATGATAATGCACATTTGCCCAAGATATCCACCAGTATTCTTCAATCATGTGGTAAGGTGGGGGTATTTTCACATTTAATGTTGAAAAAAGGTTTGAGGGTTCGATTCTGAGGCTTATTGTGCGTGGATTTCACGCTTGATGCCTTAGTCCTAAGCTAGTCGAGTTTATCTCACTCGCTCATACTGGCCTTAATCTAAAACCTAAGAGACCTAATGCACTTGCAATAGTAAAATGTGCAAATCCTATTGAGCTACCCCATTACAAGGCACCATTCTGCCACAAAAGCAACTTGTAGTTACTGTTTGCACTTTTGAAACACTGTAAACAGTCTATCTTTCTAGCTAAAACGTATAGTGATAGCAATAGCTGACCTTCATGAAAACAGCAGTGAAATCTACATATTGAATTGAAAAATACTGAGTACAGTAGATGCCACGTCTATAGACATGGAATGTCATATAAGAAACTGTACTTGTTTTTTGGCTAAGGCATATAGCCATAAGCAAGCTGTCCTTTATAGAAACAGCTCTGAAAAAATTTAAATTGAGAAACAACCGACTTTTTTAGGCTAAAGCACTAAGCCATAGCAAGCTGGCCCTGTATAGAGACACAGCATTGAAAATAACATTACAACTTTATTAAATATCCCAACATACCTGCTAACACTTCCAGCCACCCAACACAGACAAAAAGTACACCCAAAAAGAGGCGCCTTTCTTTTTAAATGTACTGTTTGTTCATGCTGAATGATTGGAAGTCTCACAGAGACTTTAGAAAAATAATAAAGTCGCAGTGCCACTGCCCATGTGCGCCTGATGATATTTTGTAACAATTTCCTGCAGACTAGCCACATGTACGCAGTGTGTACCTATTTTTTCACACAATTTTTCTTACATATATTTATACCCCATAATAGCTTCTTCCAATTTCAACGAAGCACAAATAATTACGGGTATATATTACTCAGAAGCCATGAACATATAGTTGGCCTCTATACTTGCTGCATATTTCAAATCTCAAGTATACTTCTCAGTGGTGAATGATACCATGTAAACAGAGTACGATAATTAGTCAGAAGGCATGCAGTCGAGTGGGGTTCTCAACTCCTTCTGGTATGAAAAGTCAAGCGTCATGATATACATGAAAATTAAAATGAAAAAGGGAAATCAAAATAAAATTGTGCAGAGTTAAAAATACTTGACTGCCTACCGCAGTAAGGGGAAAGTGGGTTTCCAGCGACACACATTTTCATTTTGATCCAGTCAGCCTAAAAATAAAATTAGGAAAAAATATTAATAACAAATCAAATTAGTAGATATGGTATACTATAAGCTATATACCTTAATATAAAGGAGTGTTCATTATTTAGGGACCATTCATTATTTATGACCGGGGTAGGGCTGGCAAAATTCAATCAACAAAGTTAAACAATGACCTCTCACCCCCTTCACATCAATTAAAAAAAAATAGTACACCCCCTAGTACTACTAGGGGGTGTACTATTTTTTTTAATTCATCCGGCCCCTACCGCCGATGTATACATATAGACATATGACCAGGTATACAGATCTACATCATTTACTAAAATGTGCTTTCAACAATAATATGCTTATTTAATGAAACCAGAACAAACTCTATTAAGGTAATTCCGCAGTTTTGCATTGCGCACTTTTACTGCGCACATCTTATAACCGATAATTTCATCCATTATACGTACCGTTTTAAAAAAATATCATTTTATGACAATTTTATGTTACTTCAAAACATTTTTGGTTACATTCGTGCAAAGAATTACGTTAAAATAAATGTTTTCAAAAAAGGCATACAAAAGTGTAGCTAGGGTTCCCTGTGTCTGTAGTATATTTATTTACTTGTATTTCACAGGTTTTTTTATTTATTTATTTATTTTTTTATTAGTTTGACAATAAGAAATTGAAGGCACAGACAACAGGACTAGTAAAGTCCCAAATTAAGTCCTGCCATACATGAATTAATGCCACATACATATTTTAATGCCACAATTCCCTAAAAAGATCGGTGACCCCCGTTTTTTAACTGATAATTTATTTCTTTAATGCATTTTACATTTCATATCCGAAATTAAAAGAAAAATCATTTCTGGATCTTGAAAAAAAATGCTTTATCAATGCATGTTCTCAAAGAAAGATATGTAAAGAAATGTGCAAAAGACATTTGTGGATCAGAATTGTACACGTTAGTAGTTTCATTTTTAGCTCAAAACACAATATTTTTTCAAAGATAATTACAAGATCGGTTTACTAATTAAAGCGAAATCCGCGGTAAAAAACGTCAGTCAATATCGGGCTGTTGTGAGTTTGCTGTTACTCGTAATGAGCAGCCTCGTACCCAGGCGCAAATAACGTACTAAAAATAGCAACACTACAGTGTTTTTAGCGCTCGCTCATCTTAGCCCCTGATCTATATAAAACACTGTAGTGTTGCTATTTTTAATACGCTATTTGCGCCTGGGTACGAGGCTGCGTATTGAGCGTCAAGATGGTGCCATATTGGGGTAAAGGTGGTATATTATGATTGTCATATCTTCTTAACGAGTTCGGTGACTCCGACATTTTTGTGTGATTTTACTTTAAGTATATTATAAACTCCATGCCTGGGAAGTTTCAGCACATTCTCATTTCGGGAACAATCACTGTGGAATTAAACTTTTAAGACTGGCCAGAAAAATGTTGATAAAAAATCTTACTTAATTTAATTAAAAATTAGAATCCAGTTTCAGTGTATTCTACACTACAAAGTAATTATTTCCTACTATAGCACATATTACGTACTTACTAAATTAAACCATGTATAAATATACCTAGTGTATACTAGTCAGTATATAGTATACACACAAACTCAGATGAGCAGATTTA